TTCAGTGAGCTTCATAATTCCTCATTCATAGAAGGACCTGTCTTTATTTGTGAAAAACTGAACAAGGTGCTGATTTACAGCCTCATCTAAATTGAACGTTATACCACGCAAGGAGTTTTGAAGAGAGCGAAACAAGTGGAAGTCTGATGGCGCAAGGTCAGGCAAGTATGGTGGGTGTGGCAACACATCCCATCCAAGCTCCAATAATTTTTGACAGGTGATCAAACTTCTGTGTGGTCTCACATTGTCGCAATGGAACACAACTTCTTTATAATTAACAAACTCTGGACGTTTCTGGATGATGGATTCATTCAAACTGTCCAATTGCCAACAGTACATATTCGAATTGATTGTTTGGTTCCTTGGTAGGAGCTTGAAAAACACACCTGAAACTAATAATAATAATAAAAAAATAAAAAATAAAAAACAAAAAACAAAAAACACACCTTTAAAACCCCACCACACTGAGAGCATAACCTTCCCCTGATGAATGTCTGCTTTCGATGTCGTTTGAGGAGAATTATCACATCGGGACCAAGACCGTTTGCACACCACATTGTTGTAAACAATCCACTTTTCATCACCAGTTATCAGTCACTTCTAAAAAGGATCATTTTCCTCACATTTAATGAGCATATTGCAGATGTTTATACGCGCTGTCAAATGAACTTTGAATTCACGTGGAACCCAAATATCGAGCTTGCTTATGTATCCCAGCTTCTTCAGGTGGTCGTGAACGCTTGAATGATGGGTGTTCAATGTTTCCGCAATCTCTCATGTCGTGTTACGTGGGTTTGACTTGATCAATGCCTTTATTTTGTCATCATCAACCTCGGTGGGCATCCCTGACCGAGGAGTGTTGTTGAGATCAAAATCACCAGCATGGAATTTCGTGAACCATCATTGGCACTGACATTCTTGTAGAGCATTGTCACTGTAAACTTTATGCAACTTTTCACAAGCTTGACATGCATTCTTCCCTTTCTGGAAGTAAAACGGTAAAATATGGCAAAAATGCACAGTTTGGTCTTCCATCTTCAACTTGTTGTAAAATCTCCAAAACTCAACCAAATCGCTCAATTTTTTTTAGACTGAAGCTAGAACTGTCAGCTCTCAAATGATATAGGAATATCATAGCTGTGAATGACTCTAGTACTTCCAAAAATGAACTAGTGCCATCTGTTGTAAACATGCGTCATGACTTTTCCGAAGACCCAATATTTATTTCTAAGTGAAAGCGAACCTTTTGGTGGGTCAAGAATCACTCCGAGATTCTCTCCAGAAAAACACACATGCACAAGATTTTCCATATGTCTTTAGGGTGTTCAAAAACTCTGTGAAGCCTCTAGTTCACGGACACCATGGTTAGTAACATCTGCACTATGTTTCATGAATGAATACATGAATAAAGGAACGTATGAGTAGCAACTACTCAAATACATTATCATCCTCATCATTATCATTAAAGTTAACACTTATGAAATATTTATTACTATGGCTATATGTTAAACACTTTGCATATATTATCCCATTTAATCCTCACAACAACCGTATGAGAAAGGTCCTAC